AAGATTATTCATACTGGGGAGAAACCCTACAAATGCAATGAATGTGGTAAAGCCTTCAACTGGTCCTCAACTCTTACAAAACATAAAAGAATTCATACTGGAGAGAAACCATACAAATGTGAAGAATGTGGCAAAGCTTTTAACCAGTCTTCAACGCTTACTAGACATAAGATAGTTCATACTGGAGAGAAACCATACAAATGTGAAGAATGTGGTAAAGCCTTTAAACGGTCCACAACTCTTACTAAACATAAGAGGATTTATACTAAGGAGAAACCATACAAATGTGAAGAATGTGGCAAAGCCTTTAGTGTATTGTCAACCCTTACTAAACATAAGATAATTCATACTGGAGCAAAACCTTACAAATGTGAAGAATGTGGCAGTGCCTTTAGGGCATTCTCAACCCTTACAGAACATAAGAGAGTACATACTGGAGAGAAACCCTACAAATGTGACGAATGTAGCAGAGCTTTTAACTGGTCCTCAACTCTTACAAAACATAAGAGAATTCATACTGGAGAAAGACCCTACAAATGTGAAGAATGTGGCAAAGCTTTTAACAGATCCTCAAACCTTACTCGTCATAAGAAAATTCATACTGGAGAGAAACACTACAAACCTAAAAGACGTGACAGTGCTTTTGACAACACCTCAAACTTTTCTAGACATAAAAGAAATCAAACTGTTGAGAAATCCTAGAAATGTGAAGACTGTGACAAAGCCTTTAAGTAGTTGTCACACTTGATTGTAGGTAAGATAATTCATACTGGAGAAGCCAACTACAAGTGTGATGAATGTGGCAAATATTTAATTCTCGCACCATATTGCACAGGAAAGCATTTATACTTGAGAAAAATTGTATAAATACAAAGAATGTGGAAAAGTCATTAATATCTACTCACATCTTAACATCAGAGAGTTGGTACTTAATAAAAGCATTATCAATGCAATTACTGATAAAAGATCTTTCGGAAAATGCAAGCCTGTAAAGTGAAGCAGACTATTTATTTTGAAGAGAAACATTAAAAATAGAGGTTTGTAGTACCTTTACATGTATCACAGATCTTATTGTGCACATTGTGTACTAGAGAAACACCCTAAAGCAACAGTTCAAACTTTGTTCAGTACCAGGAAATTTCTATTTGAGAAAAACCCTATGACTGTAATTAATTTTGGAAAAATTTTTTTCCAAGAACTACAGCTTAGAAAACACCAGAGGGGGCCGGGCGCGGTGGCTCAAGCCTGTAATCCCAGCACT